GCTGCTGTGCTGTGTGTGTGTGGCGTACAGGGGCTCCGTACTGCTGCGCATACCCTAAATTTGATTCACGGAGCCCCTAAGAAAACATCGGTCGGAACATCGGCACGAATTTTCGATACCGATATCGATATATATCGGACGATATATATCGTGTACATCGTTCCGATTCACAACTCTACAAAAAACTGATCGCGTCCACGTTCGGAAATGCTCATCATTTCCAAACGCATGGTCGGTTGGAAACGTGAAATCGAAAATGTTCAGGCGGAAAAGTGTCATTTCCGATCTTATAAGAAACAGTTTTTGGTCCGAATTTGGAAATCCACATTTTTGAACTGCATTTCCGAACGTTATAAGAAACCGCCTAAATATTTGTCCGTTTTTTTTTCCTGAATCTATCTATAGGTGCCGTGGGTGTGTGTGATGACGTCACTGGATTTGTAGAGAGACGCGGCAGAGATGGCGTGGATAACCCGGGTGCTTTTAATTGTGTACCTGCATCGTGGACGACCCCTTCAATGTGGAACGATTCCTAGTCAGTGTCGATGTTTACACTGCTGTGCCTAACACAGAGATGATCTGGATAGATTCGGGTGATTGTCAATTGCAATGGTGGCTTTGGTTGGGTGTTCTTCATTGGATGTCCACGGACTCATTCTGACAGCACTTGAGGCAGCNTGATTTGGATAGATTCGGGTGATTGTCAATTGCAATGGTGGCTTTGGTTGGTTGTTCTTCTTCATTTTATGTCCACGGACTCATTCTGACAGCACTTCAGACAGCAGCTGCATGCCCCGAGCTTGTGTACCATGCACCATGGTGTTATTATTGTACAGAGAGCACTTCAGACAGCAGTACGCTGTAGTCGACAAACATTCATTTTGTTTGGTTAAATGCGGGACAAGGGGGGTGATGCTGCTACTGTAGTAGTCGATTTGTAGTGTGTGGGCGTGTAGTTCAGTTGTGAGCACGCAAACAAACGTGCTGCAGGGATTGCAGGTGTACCTCCTCGGGCTTGTGTACCCTTTTCTTGCTAATAGTGTTTGTGTTCTTTAGATCTTCAGGTGGCTCTGGCATTTTTGTGACCACGGACCGAACTCGGTCTTTGCTAGATTTTGGGATTAGCAACTGACACGAGTTCAATGTGAAGAAAAACAACGAACATTAACAACAACAACAATATTATGGTCCAACGGTTTATTTCGTCTGGTTTTCGAGCACCCTGCGGTGGCATGTAGCGCCAGGGGGCCCACGACATGTCAGGATTCGAGATTGGATGGAGGCCTAGAGCGGCCGAGCGGCCACCACAGACCACACAACCCACGGTAGAGAGCGAGAGCCAAGTAAGTGCAGCACGGGCACCACCATGTCAACCGCCTCTCTTATGCTAGAGAAGAATGCCAGCTCCGACTGGGTGATCAACAGGATGAAGGGCACCAACTGGGGCGACAAACCAAACGTACGCCATGCTAGTCTGTTCCAGTTCTTGCCGGGGTTTTACGCTGCCATGAGCGTAAATTTTAAAGGAGACCGGCAAATGCTACAGCGAGCCTGATAGAAATGCAGAGGCACTCAAAGTGTACAAAAGCTTCGCTGTGCCGGCATTCCTTCGCTGGTTGGTAGAGGAATACGACTTCACCAATACCCCAGCTTGGTTCACGAAGGACATCATGGGCCGCAACTCGATGGAACCTAAAACCTTGCGCCCCGGGGCGAACTCGCATATCAGGGGTCGATCCCCCCCGACAGAAAACGAACTCCAACTTGTCGCGTTTCCCCGCCTCTGCTTTATTTTGACGGGGGCACTATAATTAACCAGGGAGTCGGCACTGGCTGCACGACGGGCGAGTACTGTGGTAGTGCCATGTGTCAGGGTGAACAGAAAATCGAATTCTACATTTAGCAACCTCGCGCGGTCTGCCTGCCATCGACTCGGCGCTCTTGGATCAATACTTGCGACAATTGAACATGCCGTCCTGCGGGAGGAAAGTCGTGTACCGCCATAAAAAAATAGAGAGAGGAGCGAGGGTCGATACCGTTCCCAGTGTCGCCTTGATATTCACCATCCGTTCCTACCTCTGCTTGGCACCTTACATCATCCGGTCCAAAACACGCGGATGTCTTCCGTGGTCACAGACCAGCTACCCAGATTTTGGGCACACACAATGCACTCGATAGTCAGACGAGAAAGCCAAAACGGCCCAGGTCTTGGCATAGACCTAAACACATGAAAAATATAATTGAAGGTCCAGTCAGACACATCAGGCGGAGGAGGGGAATAAGTAGGAACATTCTCGTTCGGTAGGCGGTGCCAAACCCCTTCACTCATCCAGACAACATAAAAAGTGCACGATTTTGATCTATTCCTCTTACATTCACCGCTGGGGTTGCCACTGCCATGCCACCTGTGATGGTTCTAGCCACACACTTCACAAGCAGGGAGAGCGGCGTACTGCACCTAGATCACGGCGTACCACATACATAAATGGTGGACGGGGACAAAACACATCCTCGTACCGAGAACACACTGCAAACAAGACGTTGAAACCAACACCTGCACCCTGCCTGCATAACCTACCCAGTCCGGTAAACTGATGCAAAACCTTCCATAGAAACATTTCCATTTTGTGGTCATAGGCCAACAACCCAACAAGGGTAAACACAAGCGTCAATCAAGGAGAACACCAGAAAAAATATAACAATCGCGACAACAAACCACAACCAGGGGTGTAGAGAGACAAAAACTGGTCCTAGTGGATTGCTTGTAGCCCCAACCCCCATTGCAAAAAATGTGGCGAACACCGACCAGTACTTGGATTTCATAGCGGTATATTATGTAACGGTGCCTTCCATGAAGTGAATCAGTCGAATCCCTAAGAAAACGCAGAGGAAGAAAGCCACGATTCTAAGGGCATGCAGTACGGCTCCTCCAGCAAACCCACTCCGAGCGTGAAACAACCAAGCCGGTTTGCATACAGTCGTCCCAGGCTGAACGAAAACACCCGCGACAAAGAAAACAAATTCACGCACACCAAACCAAAAAAAGCGCCACGTGCACTTTTGCCAGTCGTGGCGTAACTGAGCCACCGAATGTCGTTCTTCGATCTACGGAATTCAAAGTGCGTCATAAGCGCGTTCTTCAACTCCTCATGGGCTGCTTGCGGGGTCGTGGTGGTGCCGTCATCGTCCGCCGGGGTGGGGCTGGTGGACCCCACAGTACTGTCGTCCAACAAAGGGTCGTTGTCCCAAGTACCGTGGAGACCCAGACCCGCCCTCCCTCCCCACTCTTTGACAGTCTCGAGCTCATCCAGCCCGTCGAACGCGTGCAGCATGCTGTGTAAGGTGCAGCATGTGAAGAACAAGTTGTCGATGACGTTCTCGTGCTGGAAAAGGATTCCCAACTTCAGGATCCTGAAGCGGCCCTTCAAGATGCCGAAGAAGTATTCGACGTCTTTTCGGACGCTCTCCAGCGCTTTGCTCCACTTGCTCTCCATGTCAGTCTGAGGGTATTTCGCAGGGGGAATGAGAACCCCCCACTAGATTAAAAGAGAAAACAAGGCATGGCGAAGAGCGTGNAGATTAAATTAAGGCATGGCCAAGGGCGTGCGAGGGATGCGGGCGTGACGGGCATGGTTAGCTTCAGCGCGGTAGAATATGAACAACACAAGAACGCCCACAAAAACGGGGGCACGTGCAAAA